CTCTCTCTTTCTCTCTCTCTCTCTCTCTCTTTCTCTCTCTCTCTCTCTTTCTCTCTCTCTCTCTTTCTCTCTCTTTCTCTCTCTCTCCCTTTCTCTCTCTCTCTCTCTCTCTCTCTCTCTCTCTCTCTCTCTCTCTCTCTCTCTCTCTCTCTCCCTCTTTCTCTTTCTCTCTCTTGTTCTTTATTTTTTCATTCCTTCTTCATTATCTGCGAAGAACTAAAGATATGAGGACCTTGACATCTCCGTAACAATTTCTCAGTGACATGAAAAGAACCGTTCACACAGCAGCTGTGGGTGGTTGGCGGGTGCTCTGGTGTGGTTTGCTTCTTCTTTCCTATCAAAGATATATCGTCCTTATCTCCCCTTCTTCTTTTTTTTATGTTTGTCACTCTCTTGTAACACCTCTAATCTTCTGGTGCTCATATGACCTTATGCAGTTGCGAGCGCCGTAAAATCTCTACTAAAAAAAAAAATAATAAAAAAAAAACACAGCAGCTGTTTGCTCTCCACGGACCCTAAGACTTCAGAGATTGAAAGGGGGCTCTCAAGGTCTAGATGTACGGCGTTTGCCTCTCATTCAATAGGTCGTGGGTTCGAAACCTAACAGCGACGGATATTTTCTTCTTTACAATGTTCTCCTTTCACACCGCTTTCTGCTCTCTTACAATATTCTGTCATCTGCTTTCATCTCCGATTTCTGCCCTCACCCCCCTCATCTCATTTGCCCACTCTACTGGGCTCTTAACACTTCATGCTGCCTTTCTACCGCTACTCCTTGGCTCCTCTCACTACTCTTTCATCCGCACTCCCGGTCTTAGGGTAGGTAAGATCTAACACCCAGCCTTCTGGAATAAGGATGAAAAATCTCGGAGGTCCCGTGTGCAAGTTGCGCACGTTAAAGATCCCTTGGTGGTCCAATATCGGTAAGAGCAGACTTCGGCCGCCACCTGGGCAAAATTCAAAATAAATTAATTCCTACCACACTGAAAACATTTAATATGACCCGCGCACTCATATGACCTATACAGCTGCGAGCGCCGTAATACACTTACCAAAACGAAACATCAATGGATCAAAGTCTTTTGAAAAAATAGTTTTGTTCAGTCGCTGGCCTACAGAAGTGCAATATCTGCAAGGTTTCGTGCACGACAGTTGATCTAGATGTAGATTTCTAGATCTAGAACCGATTTTTTTCCACACGGACAGACGGATGTATTTTAGGAGAGATCTCCCCATGTATCCTGTGATGTGTCTTTTGTTTGTTTAGTGAGCTCACCATTGTCACGAGCTCTCTCTCTCTCTCTCACTCGCGCTCACGAAGTGTCAGTCAAGAATATTCCCTCTCAGTGAACGATCGACTCAGTGCTGTCATGTGAAAACGATAACGATATTCTTTTCTCTTCTCTTCCCTTTTGTTCTCTTTCGGTCTTTCCCCCTAACTTATTGGTTTCTATCTTTTGCGGGAACCGCCTACCGCCCTCCCCACCAAACTGTATCTGATTCTCTCTGCCTGCAACTTGTTTTCTTTTTTCGCCCCCCCCCCCCTCCTTTTCCATATTTTTCATAATTCTCTTTCTCGCTTTCGCTCTCAAATATTATGTTCAAAGTCTCAATGCATGTTATTATTTTCCCTCATTTTCTCTGTAGCATTATTTTTCAGTCTTGTAACCTTTGTCTCACTCCTTTGACTTGTCTCTCCTTCCCCCTTCCCCTCCCCCCCCCCCCACAGCTGCTGTGTGAACGGTTGTTTTCATGTCACAGAGAAATTGTTACGGAGATGTCAAGGTCCTCATATCTTTAGTTCTTCGCAGATAATGAAGAAGGAAGGAAAAAATAAAGAGCAAGAGAGAGAGAGGGAGGGAGGGAGGGAGAGAGAGAGATACAAAGAGAGAGAAAGTAAGAGAGAAGCAAATATATACACATACACTCAGACAACGTTATTATCATTAATGCCTTTCACCCCTGACAGGGAATAGGCCACATACAAGCTCCTTCCATTTATCTCTGTCCTGGGCCTTCCTTCCTAGCTTGTTCCAAGTGAGCTTCATCTCTCTCATGTCCCTTTCCACACATCTCCTCCATGTTTTGTCCAAACTGGTTCAAGTCGGTCTCTCTGATTCCCAGTATGTGTAGGTAGTATAGGTGCATCTCTTGGAGGACCTGTGTAGTTTTTCCAGCCTCATAAAGGGTCCTAACGTTCCACGATCCAATCCGGAGAGACTTCTGGACTAGGATGATGGTGGAATCTTCTGCTCAGCAGCTTCCTTTCGGCTTGTGCTACCTCGCATCATAAACTCTCCTTTCGGAGAAAATCCACGACCAGCCAAGAAGAGAGAATTGGGTTTGCTTGTATGTGTTTCTGTAACAGGTTCTTTCTACGAGAGAGGTTGTTAGCCTCGTGACTCAATCCCCAACCTGGAGGGAGGATGACTCTG